GCTTAATAATGTCTGCAAGGAGAGTTTGAGATCAATCTGGGAAACATGGCTGTCCTCTACAAAAATACAAAAATTTCCTGGGCACCTGTAGTCCTAGCTACTTGGGAGGCTGAGGTAGGAGGATTCCTTCAGCCAGGAGGTCAAGGCTGCAGTGAGCTGTGATCATACCACTGCTCTCCATCTCCAACGTAGGCTACAGAGTAAGACAATGTCTCAAAAACAAAACAAAACAAAAAAAAGACTCCTATAAAAGTAGAGTTTAGACAAGGCTTGGTAGTTCAGGCCTATAATCTCAGTACTTTGGGGGGCCAAGGCTGGAGAATCGCTCGAGGCCAGGAGTTCAGACAAGCCTGGCCAACATAGCAAGACCCCATCTGGGAAGAAAAAAAAAAAAACAGAAAAAGGAAAAAAAAGCACCCTCTGAGTATCAGTTGGTTTTTACTCTTCCTAAGACTTTTGATCACTATCTTGTTATTACTAATCTTTTGCCCTTGCTTGTTTAACCTCTTGAAGTTTGTGTCTACTAGATTACAACAATCCAACATAAAGAGGATGCTGGCACAAGGCTTCCAATCCATACCAACTTCTGACCTGGGAAATAAAGACATATTGCCTTTAGGCCCCTCAGATCAGGCATCCAAAGATTTTTACTTCTTCAGTACTGGGCAGGGCTATGCCCATTGAATCATCAGAACATCGCAGGGTGTGCAGATCACAAGGTCAAGAGAACGAGATCATCCTGGCCAACACGGTGAAACCCTGTCTCTACTACAAATACAAAAATTAGCTGGGCGTGGTGGCATGTGCCTATAGTCCCAGCTGCTCAGGAGGCTGAGAAGGGAGAATTGCTTGAACCGGGAGGCAAAGGTTGCAGTGAGCTGAGATCGCTGCCACTGCACTCCAGCATGGCGACAGAGCAAGACTCCATCTCAAAAAAAAAAAAAAAAAAAAGAATCGGCCAGGTGTGGTGGCTCACACCTTGTAATCCCAGCACTTTGGGAGGCTGAGCCAGGTGGATCACCTGAGGTCGGGAGTTTGAGACCAGCCTTACCAACATGGAGAAACTCCGTCTCTACTAAAAAATACAAAGGCAGGGCACAGTGACTCATGCCTGTAAACCCAGCCCTTTGGGAGCCCAAGGTGGGCGGATCACCTGAGGTCGGGAGTTCGAGACCAGCCTGACCAACATGGAGAAAGCCTGTCTCTACTAAACATACAAAATTAGCTGGGCGTGGTGGCGCATGTCTGTAATCTCAGCTACTCAGGAGGCTGAGGCAGAGAATCGCTTGAATTTGGGAGGCAGAAGTTGTGGTGAGCTGAAATTGTGCCATTGTACTCCAGCCTGGGCAACAAGAGTGAAACTCTCTCTCAAAAAAAAAAAAAAACAAAACATCAGAACATCATGCAAACACAGACCTCCTGTGGCTCCCTAGAAACCAACTGCAAATTCTTTTTTTTTTTTTTTGAGATAGAGTCTCACTCTGTCTTACAGGCTGAGTGCAGTGGCGTGATCTCGGCTCACTGCAACCTCTGCCTCCCAGGTTCAAGAGAATCTCCTGCCTCAGCTCCATAATAGCTGGGACTACAGGTGCGTGCCGCCATGCCCAGTTAATTTTTTGTATTTTTAGTAGATATGGGGTTTCATGGTGTTAGCCAGGGTGGTGTGCAGTGGCCTGATCTGGGCTCACTGCAAGCTCCGCCTCCTGGGTTCACTCCATTTTCCTGCCTCAGCCTCCTGAGTAGCTGGGACTACAGGCACCCGCCACCATGTCCAGCTAATTTTTTAATGTTTTTAGTCGAGACGGGGTTTCGCTGTGTTAGCCAGAATGGTCTCGACCTCCTGACCTTGTGATTCGCCTGCTTCGGCCTCCCAGAGTGCTGGGATTACAGGCGTGAGCCACGGCACCCAGCCACCAACTGCAAATTCCTAGGAGAGAATCCTGTCCCAAAGATCAATGTCCACTGTCAGCAGGAAGAAGTTACAAAAAATGACCTTCACCCTTCATCTCTCCTTAAGATTAGAGAAGTAGAGGAGAAGAGTAGAGGAGGTATTATGTTAGGGAAACAGGAACGGAAGAGCTAGGGTAACACGGCGAGGCACGGTGGCTCACGCCTTTAATTCCAGCACTTCGGGAGGCCGAGGCGGGCGGATCACCTGAGGTCAGGAGTTCGAGACTGGTCTGGCTAACATTGTGAACTCCCTTCTCTACTAAAAATACAAAAATAATCTGGGCGTTGTGGCAGGTGCCTGTAATGTCTGCTACTTGGGAGGCTGAGACAGAAAAATCGCTTGAACCCGGGAGGCAGAGGTTGCCGTGCGCCGAGATTGCGCCATTGCACTCCCACCTGGGCGACAAAAACAAAACTCTGTCTCAAAAAAAAAAAAAAAGGGCTAGGGTAACACAATTTCAAAATCAATTCCAAATGTAAACTAGCAAAGCATATTCCTTACCAGATACAACCCGTGGTCATAAGATGTTTACAGCTAAGGAAGCAGTTTAATAATGCCAGCAAGGGACCAGGCACGGTGGCTCATGCCCATAATCCCAGTGGATCATGAGGTCAAGGGATCGAGACCATCCTGGCTAGCACGGCAAAACCCCGTCTCTACTAAAAATACAAAAAATTAGCCGGGCATGGTGGCAGGTGCCTGTAGTCCCAGCTACTAGGGAGGCTGAGGCAGGAGAATGGCGTGAACCTGGGAGGCGGAGTTCGCAGTGTGCCACTGCACTCCAGCTTGGGTGACAGAGCAAGACTCCATCTCAACAACAACAACAACAACAACAAAAAAAAAGCTGGCAAGGACAAACTCCTATGACAACAAAATGTTCAGATGTCCCAATATCACATAACAATTCCCCCCCCTTTTTTTTTTGGAGATGGAGTTTCGGTCAAAAAAATAAAATGAAATAAAAAGAAGTTCTCTTTTAGTTTGATTACTCTGTGAAACCTGAGGTATAATCAAGACCTAAAAAAAAAAAAAAAAAAAAGGCCCTCAAATACTTACTCATTCACAACAGGGAATACACAGATAAAAGCTAATAGTTTTAGGAAGGTATCTGGGGAGACATATAGGCCCCTGGGAGGAAATCCCTGAAGTGGTGGCTCTGATAATCTGCAGAGAGCTAGAAGGGAGGTTCTCCCCTCCCCCAGAAAAATCTATCCCAAGACCATAAACTACATCGCTAATCCTTGGAAATACATAAAGTGGTTAGGGTTAAAGGGTGGCTTCAAAATGGTTCTAGCAGAAACCTATTGCGGTTACTAAACTATTCAAATCATTTGCCCAGAGATAGCTTTTCTGGATAAAATAGCTTTATCCAGAGCCGACAGCAAAATGGAGTTCAGCAGGGTGGTTCCCTAACATTCATTCTTCCCGTTAAAGCAAGCTTATGATTTTCAGATTCGTTTTAAGAATAAGAGTGGGGGTGGTCCGATGATAGTGGGTTATCAGAACTTATTAATATTAGTGTCACTAAAATTAGTATACCATCCCTCACTGCTAAAATTGACAGGCTTAATTTTTTTTTTTTTTTTAAGAATAAGAAGAGGAACAAAATAAGTGAGAACAATATTCAAATATATTCCTGCCTCCTCTACCCAGTTGGAAAAATGTGTGCAAATTTGGATTTTGAATCAAATGCCTTTAACAAGACTACCAAAACTATCAGAAATAAACAAGAACCTCTTGGTCTGCAGGTCAGGTTCAGATGGGTGGAGACACACATATATAGACATACACATATATAACTCCTTACAACATACACTTATTAACCACATAAATTTGCTATTTGTCTGAAATTCGGTGCGAAGGATGAAGGCTGCACCAAATTTTAATAGGCTAATAACTGAATATGAACTATGAATTTTTAGTGTTTTAGGTTTAACCTTTTTGTTCCTCCTATACTGGGCAAATATTCTGAATAGTAACATCAATACGTTTCGGCTAGGACCATTTTAAAGCCACATTTTAAACCTAACCACCTTCTGCATTTCCAAGGATTAGCAATGTGGTTTATCGTCTTGAAATAGATTTTCCAGGGGCGGGGCGGAGGGAGACCTAGTCTACTCCTATAATGTGGGCCTCCAAGCACTAAGCTATAACCAATTGATGTATCTTGACACAAGGCCAAGCAGTCTTATTTACAAAACTCTTAAGTTGCACAAGGAATCTCTACTTCCTAACATCCTTCAGTGTCAATTTATTTCCTCCCTATCCAATTCTTTCCTCACTTCAACTCAGCTACCACCACTGAAATGTGTTTTTAAATCTCCTTTTCAAAAAGCCCCTAGAACTGTTTCATAAAATTGATGGCTTAGATCTAAAATTGGGGCCTACTTTGCCCTTTTAACAGCTTCAATGTTAAATGCTTGGGCACTCTTCGAATGACTGAATATCTACTTGCTTTCAGCATTTGGTACTCTTACTTTGGAGAACAAGTCATTAAAGTAAACCATGTACACCTATTCGGTTTTCTAAAGCTCGCGTTTTTCACATTATCAGGTAAGTACAGAATGCACTGCCTTAAAAGGAACTGCGAAAATAAAAAGGCAAAACTCACTGACAAACTGTGGCAACACGAAATTAATCAGCTGAGCTATCCGAACCACAACTTTCTGCATTTCACGGTGCTTCGTCTTTCAAATTGTATGGCTCTCTCAAGTCCTAGGCTTCCTCCGAATTAAGTCAAGCCTCGTCACCCATTCCCTGGTCGGTGTCTTTCCGACTCGCGCCCGCCCCTCGCCAGGCCCTCGCAGCCATGCGCCGCACACTGCAGCACTGGCGCGCGCGGCCCGCAGGCGCGGAGGACCCCGCCCCGCGGCCGCGCGAAGGGAGGGGGCTCGGGGCTCGGGGCCCGGAGCCCGCCTCTGCGGCTGCCAGGCCGGGCGCCCAGTGGGCGCACGGGGCCGGAGGAGGGGCCCGCGGCCGCGACACCGCCTGTGCCCGCCCCCTCTCCAAAGCCGCTACTTAAGAGGCTCCAGCGCCGGTCCCGCCCCAGTGCGTTACTTACCTCGACTCTTAGCTTGTCGGGGACGGTAACCGGGACCCGGTGTCTGCTCCTTCCGCCTTCGCCTCCTAATCCCTAGCCACTATGGTGAGTGAGCCGCGCGGCTCCCGGCTGCTTTCAGGGAAGCAGGGAAAAGCGAGCTGGCGGGGCGCGGGGACCCTGTATACAGCCGGGGAGGTCTGGTTCCAGAGCCGTCCTTTTGGAGGGCGGAAAACAAGGCGAGAGGCCAGGGCGGGAGTGGTGAGACCTCGGTGTGTGTAAATAGCTGGGGCCCGGAAAGGTCGAGGGGCGCCAGGATTTCTTATCGGACTCTGGAAGGGATGAGGGGGCTCCGGCTGCCTTCTGCCGTATCCGGAGCTCTCTTTCAGCGCGTAACTCTGTACTGGGAGCGGTCCCTCGAGTCCCCGCAGTCCTTTCCAGCGCATGCCCTTCCCCCGCTTTGGGTGGACGCGCGCGCGCGCGGACTCTAACATCTTCCAGCCTTCACTTCCTCTTGAGCGCGAAAAGCGGGGGTGGGAAGCAGCTGGAGACAAAAGCGCGCACGCGCGACCGTTACCTTCACGCCGTTCCTGGGCGGGAAACCGCCACTGCAGTCTGCGCATGCGCTCTGGGTCGCGGCGAGACTAGGGCTACAGGGCGTGTCTCCTGTTAACCTGAGTTTTCTTTTTTTAATGAAAGCAATAAGAGGAATGTGGGGAAGGGCCCTGTCAATGTACCGCTATACACCAGTGAATTAGGACAGTTCGACCACAACAGTCTGTAGAGGCCACCTGTCTCTCTGCTGCGTTAGGAATTCAGGGGAGCAGGTGGTGGCAGTGAGGGATTTTGAGGGAACGGAAATCGGATCTTGACCCAGATCTGGGCCGCCGATAATCCCCAACTTCGCTCAGACTGCTGTGGAGGTGTTAGGCCCAGCCCGATGCCGGCGGGCAAGGGAGGATGGGCGGCCTGGGCAGCGCCTTTGCAGACGTGGCCATTTCGTGCCTCTGCAGCGCCGCCGGGGGGCGCGAGAGCGCGCGCCCTGAATTGCGCATTCATCCTGTGCCGCAGAGCCCCGCCCCATGTCCCTGCGGACCGACATTTCTTATGCGCTGGTCTGGCCACGTGCTTCCTGTGCTAGGAGCTGCCCGGAAATGTGGCCACCTAGTCTAAAGTGGTATTCTGGGGCCTGAGCGCTGGGTGGATGCCTACCTTCCTGTCTTGGTCCTCCAAAGGAGGAAGCTGTGACTGAGCTGTATTGGTCTGGAAGGAGGCCTTCCCAGTTTAGGATGGGAAGGTAACAGTCATTAAAAGCAATGTAGACGATAAGCTGTTCTCAGAAGAGTAGTACGTCTTACGTCGCTTTAAAAAAGGAAATTTGTTTTAAGATTACGTGAGTAGCCTAGGTAACACAGCCAGACCTCATCTCCACAAAAAAAGATGAAAAAATTAGCCAGGCGTAGTGGCCTGTGCCTGTGGTCCCAGCTGCTCCAGAGGCTGGGGTCGGGGGATGACTCAAGCCCAGGAGGTTTAGGCTGCCTTGAGCCTAGACGGCATCACTGCACTCAAGCCTGGGTGACAGACTTTATCTCTAAAAAAATAAAGATTGCATGAGTATTTTGTTCCACCTGACAGCCACCAATAGATTAAATTGCAATATCTTTTTCCTTCCCACAGCGTGAGTGCATCTCCATCCACGTTGGCCAGGCTGGTGTCCAGATTGGCAATGCCTGCTGGGAGCTCTACTGCCTGGAACACGGCATCCAGCCCGATGGTCAGATGCCAAGTGACAAGACCATTGGGGGAGGAGATGATTCCTTCAACACCTTCTTCAGTGAGACGGGCGCTGGCAAGCATGTGCCCCGGGCCGTGTTTGTAGACTTGGAACCCACGGTCATTGGTGAGTTGACTTCAGTAACCCAAGTGAGATCCCAGGATTCTGGGACAGGTCTGTCCTGGGGGCTCCGCTGGTCACTCACCCACTCCCTCCATCCTTCTCTCCCTCCTCCAGATGAAGTTCGCACTGGCACCTACCGCCAGCTCTTCCACCCTGAGCAGCTCATCACAGGCAAGGAAGATGCTGCCAATAACTATGCCCGAGGGCACTACACCATTGGCAAGGAGATCATTGACCTTGTGTTGGACCGAATTCGCAAGCTGGTAAGCACAATATATAAATATGCATTTAATGCGGCGAGATGGTACCAGTGCAAGTTGGGTGGAGTGACTGACAACATTCATTCTTTAGCACCTACCAAAATGTGGAATAGACTGCTTACTATGTTCATTGGACTTCTAAATCAGATAGTCCCCTAGGTTATGGACAGTTTGTGGATATGTTTGTTTTCCCATTTCCTTATGCTTATGTCAATGAGATGGTTCATAATCTAAGAATTTTAAATAGAAATTCTAAGAGAATGTTTCTTGGAATTAAAATATTATTTTTTTTATTTCCCTACAGGCTGACCAGTGTACCGGTCTTCAGGGCTTCTTGGTTTTCCACAGCTTTGGTGGGGGAACTGGTTCTGGGTTCACCTCCCTGCTCATGGAACGTCTCTCAGTTGATTATGGCAAGAAGTCCAAGCTGGAGTTCTCCATTTACCCAGCGCCCCAGGTTTCCACAGCTGTAGTTGAGCCCTACAACTCCATCCTCACCACCCACACCACCCTGGAGCACTCTGATTGTGCCTTCATGGTAGACAATGAGGCCATCTATGACATCTGTCGTAGAAACCTCGATATTGAGCGCCCAACCTACACTAACCTTAACCGCCTTATTAGCCAGATTGTGTCCTCCATCACTGCTTCCCTGAGATTTGATGGAGCCCTGAATGTTGACCTGACAGAATTCCAGACCAACCTGGTGCCCTACCCCCGCATCCACTTCCCTCTGGCCACATACGCCCCTGTCATCTCTGCTGAGAAAGCCTACCATGAACAGCTTTCTGTAGCAGAGATCACCAATGCTTGCTTTGAGCCAGCCAACCAGATGGTGAAATGTGACCCTCGCCATGGTAAATACATGGCTTGCTGCCTGTTGTACCGTGGTGATGTGGTTCCCAAAGATGTCAATGCTGCCATTGCCACCATCAAGACCAAGCGCAGCATCCAGTTTGTGGATTGGTGCCCCACTGGCTTCAAGGTTGGCATCAACTACCAGCCTCCCACTGTGGTGCCTGGTGGAGACCTGGCCAAGGTTCAGAGAGCTGTGTGCATGCTGAGCAACACCACAGCCATTGCCGAGGCCTGGGCTCGCCTGGACCACAAGTTTGACTTGATGTATGCCAAGCGTGCCTTTGTTCACTGGTATGTGGGTGAGGGGATGGAGGAAGGCGAGTTTTCAGAGGCCCGTGAAGACATGGCTGCCCTTGAGAAGGATTATGAGGAGGTTGGTGTGGATTCTGTTGAAGGAGAGGGTGAGGAAGAAGGAGAGGAATACTAATTATCCATTCCTTTTGGCACTGCAGCATGTCATGCTCCCAGGATTTCAGCTTCAGCTTAGCTGACAGACATTAAAGCTTTCTGGTTAGATTGTTTTCACTTGGTGATCATGTCTTTTCCATGTGTACCTATAATATTTTTCCATCGTGTCTCAAAGTAAAGTCATTAACATCAAAAGCTTTGTTTCCTGTGTTTTCTAAAAGTGCCTTGGTTTTTGGATTCATCTATATTTGGAGTATCGAGTCTGCAATTTGCTGGTGATGTCAGGGATCCTACTTCCTGTGCAGGCACCTCTAGGGAAAAGGAAGCTCAAGGGACTAGAAAGGCAGAAGCCCTAGATTCTCAGACTAGTTTACCACCTCATCCCTTGGCGTAGGGGGCGGGGAAACTGATGAAAGTCATTCTGCTAATCTAGAGCTCATTTAGCTCTTCAGAGTATGACTGGGTAGTTACTAATGAGTTATGTATGGGAAGTATACGTTTTGAATATCCGCTAAGTTGCTGCTGTTTAAAGTGGCCTGCTAACCTTGTTAGTGTAAGAAATTTCACAGTGATCTTTGGCTGGTCATGGTGGCTCATGCCTCTAATCCCAGCACGAGGATTTCCAGCTGTCAATGTACCAGTTTCCAGCCCTATTGTGATAGGAAAAAGGACCAGAATTCATGGTAGTCAATAAAAGTCATGCTAAGAAAGAAGGCTAAACAATAAGTGATATGCATGGGTGGAAGAGGACTACATTACATGAGGATAAAGTGGCAACATTTGTAAAGGTTAGGATAAAAACGTATAGCATTTGGCATGGTTTACATCCTTTCAAATATTTTGGCTACATGTAACAGACTTGTAGGCACAGAGAATGTAAATAGAGGATTTAACCTAGGAGAAAATGTAGATTTCAAATCCGTAAAGTACAGGAAAATTGTGGCTGCTAAAGACCCTGATGGCTGCTAAAGACCAAGAAGACTGAAAGAATGCATGAGGCTTTTTTGAAAAAGCAGAGAAGAGGCCAGGCACAGTGGTTCATACCTGTAATCCAAGCGCTTTGGGAGGCGGAGGCGGGCGGATTACCTGAGGTCAGGAGTTTGAGACCATCCTGGCCAACATGGAGAAACCCCATCTCTACTAAAAATACAAAATTAGCTGGACGTGGTGGCTCACCCTTGTAATCCCAGCTACTCGGGAGACAGGCAGGAGAATTGCTTGAACCTGGGAGGAGGAGGTTACAGTGAGCCAAGATTGCGCCATTGCACTCCAGCCTGGGCAACAAAAGCAAAACTTCATCTCAAAAAAAAAAAAAAAAAAAAAAAGTAGGGAAGTCTACAATTTTCCCAGTTTTTTTTTTTTTAGCCCATAAATCCTACAAATTTACAAAATGTCAGCCGTCCCTATCTGTGGTTTCCATATCTAGATTTGACTAACTGGATTTAAAATACTTGGAAGCAACCGGCCCTGGTGGTTCATGCCTATAATACCAGCACTTTGGTCAAGGCAGGAGGATCACTTGAGCCCAGGAGTTTGAGACCAGCCTAGGCAACCTAGGGAGACCCTGTCATTACAAAACAAAAACCAAAACAAATTAGCCAGTGTAATTGTGCTGCTGCATTCCTGCCTGGGTGCCAGAGAAAGACCCTATCTCAAAATATATGTTTGGAAAAATGGATAGTTGTGTCTGAACTGAACATGTACTTGTCCCCTTTATTCTCTAAATGATATAGTATAACAATTATTTACATAGCATTCACATTGTATTAGGTATTATAAGTAATCTGGAAATGACTTAAAGTATACAGGAAGATGTGTGCAGGTTACATGCAAACACTAGAGCTCTCTATATAAGGAACTTGAGCATTCATGGATTTTGGTATCCTCCAGGGATACTAAGGGATGACTGTAGCTCTCAGCTCCAAAGATAATCTGATTTGGCATGAACAATTCAGAGAAGAAGCTTTGGTGGGGAGCCTGCAGGCCTAGCATAGCAACACAAATGTAGCCATCACAGGCTCCAAGGGAAAGCAGACACCTTTATTTATTTTTTATTTTTGTGTATTTATTTATTTATTTTTGAGACGGAGTCTCGCTCTGTTGCCAAGGCTGGAGTGCAGTGGCACAATCTCAGCTCACTGCAAGCTCCGCCTACCGGGTTCATGCCATTCTCCTGTCTCAGCCTCCCAAGTAGCTGGGACTACAGGCGCCCGCCACCTCACCTGGCTAATTTTTGTATTTTTAGTACAGACGGGGTTTCACCATGTTGGCCAGGCTGGTCTCGAACTCCTGACCTCGTGATCTGCCCACCTTGGCCTCCCAAAGTGCTGGGATTACAGGCATGAGCCACTGGGTGCTCCCAGCAGCAGACACCTTTAAAGAACTGAGAGGCCTGGGCACAGCAGCTCACGCCTGTAATCCTATCACTTTGGGAGCCCAAAGTAAGTGGATCACCTGAGGTCAGGAGATTGAGACCAGTGAGGCCAACATAATCCCAACTCTACTAAAAATACAAAATTAGCTGGGCATGGTAGCCTGTGCCTGTAGTCCCAGCTACACCAGGGGCTGAGGCAGGAGAATCACTTGAACATGGGAGGTGGAGGTGACAGTGAGCCGATATTATGCCACTGCACTCCAGCCTGGGTGACAGAGTGAAACTCTCAAAAATATACAATAAAAAATTTTAAGCTGGGCACGGTGGTTCACTCCTGTAATCCCAGCACTTTGGGAGGCTGAAGCAGGCGGATCACCTGAGGTCAGCAGTTTGAGACCAACCAGGTCAACATGGTGAAACCCCATCTCTACTAAAAATACAAAAATTATCTGGGCGTGGTGGTGGGCACCTCTAATCCCAGCTACTTGGGAGGCTGAGACAGGAGAATTGCTTGAACCCGGGAGGTAGAGGTTGCGTGAGCCAAGATCATGCCATTGCACTGCAGCCTAGGTGACAAAAGTGAAACTCCATCTCAAAGGAAAAAAAAAATTAAAAAATTGTTTTATACATGAAGATGACTACTATTTTTTTTTTTTTCTTGAGATGCAGTCTCGTTCTATTGCCCAAGCTGAAGTGCAGTGGCTCAGTCTTGGCTCACTGGCAACCTCCGCCTCCTGGGTTCAAGGGATTCTCATGCCTCAGCCTCCCGAGTAGCTGGGATTACAGGCGTGCACTACCATGCCCAGCTAATTTTTGTATTTTTAGTACAGACGGGGTTTCACCATGTTGGCCAAGCTGGTCTCAAACTCCGTACCTCAAATGATCCTCCCTCCTTGGCCTCCCAAACTGCTGGGATTACAAGGGTGAGCCACCACACCAGGCCAAGATGAATACTATTAATTATAAGTTAAGGCCTTGGATTAAATGATATATTATGTGTGGGCCATGGGGGAGGAGGTGGCTAGAATGAAATGCTCAGGCAGACAGGACATGTCATCAAGCCCTCCTTTAAAGTGCCCCTTTAAGGGGCACTGGAGTCGTCTTATCTATATCTCTGACCAGGCAGCAAGTACAGCACCTGGTAATGCCCATAGGAACCAAAAATAATGGTAATTTCTCTCTTAAGCCAGATTCTTTTTTTGGTTTTTTTTGTTTGTTTGTTTGTTTTTAGACAGTCTTGCCCTGTAGCCCGGGCTGGAGTGCAGTGATGCGATCTTGGCTCACTGCAACCTCCACCTCCTGGGTTCATGCCATTCTCCTGCCTCAGCCTCCCGAGTAGCTGGGACTATAGGTACCCGCCACCACGCCCGGCTAATTTTTGGTATTTTTAGTAGAGATGGGGTTTCACTGTGTTAGTTAGGATAGTCTCGATCTCCTGACCTCGTGATCCACCCTCCTCGGCCTCCCAAAGTGCTGGGATTACAGGCATGAGCCACCGTGCCCAGCCAGCCAGATTCTTTATTGTTCTACTCAATGTAAACTTTAAGCCCTAAGGTTTTGTAACACTCACTCTCTTTCAGGACCCAGGCTTCTTTATCAACTCTCAGGGAGGAGCCTAGGGAACAGAGACATTTGGTTAGCCTCTTGTTCTGTCACTAATCAGGACCTCTTAATCTTCTGGGACTATTTTTCCTTTCACACTATAGATTTCCATTCTGCCTTTCTCAGAAGGGGTAGCAAGTAGGGCTTTGGAGTTTGGAAGGACCTGTAAACTTAGAGATGTGCATCCAAGTTGGGAGATGAGGGGCAGTGTATACCAGGTCTTGACATGTCTGCTCAGCCATTCTCCAGAGCTACTACAGAAGCATAGGCCATTTATTCAGAAAATAAGTATAACTTTTTTCTTCTTCTTCTTTTTTTAGAGATGAAGTCTAACTCTGACATTCAGTCTGGAGTACAGTGGTGAGATCTTGGCTCACTGCATCCTCCAACTCCCAGGTTCAAGTGATTCTCCTGCCTCAGCCTCCCAAGTAGCTGGGATTATAGATGCCCACCACCACGCCTCAGCTAATTTTTTTGTATTTTTAGTACAGACAGGGTTTCACCATGTTGGCCAGACTGGTCTCGAATCCCTGACCTCAGGTGATCTGCCTGCCTCGGCCTCCCAAAGTGCTGGGATTACAGGGATGAGCCACCATGCCCAGTCAATGAATATAAATTTTTAAAAGCCCAAGAAGGGTTTACTTAGAGATGAAAAGGATGATGACAATAACAACGATAACTAATCTTAACTACATAGACACCTTCTTTTTTTAACACCAGAATGCTTAAATGCCTTCACAACCTACTGTTCATCCCCTCCATGAGTTCACTGTATAAAATGAAAAAAGCCCAGTGCCTCATTTTAGAGATGACAGATTTAATTGGTAGGGAAGAAGGGGAGAGATACCACAGCCTTGTGTCCTGCCTTGTAGGACTAGAAGCCTTAAATATTGCCTGCCACAAGATCATTAGGACATGAGTCTTTCAGCCCTACCAAGGACCCGGGCTGTGATTTAGGGATGTGCTTAGACTAACAGGCTTAAGCAAGGGAGGAGGGAAGAGCATTTTATCTGGAGATGCCATATTCCCCTCCCAATCCCATCAAACTCCTGGCAAATTCCTTAATGCCCTGCAGATGGCACCACTGACAAGGAGTTCTCCATCCAGGAGAGCCAAGCTCAGATTTGTGAACTCTGCCCTTGTCATCTTGGACCTGTGCCAAAAAGATGACAAGCCGGAAGTGACTGACCTGCCATCCCTAGCATTCACACACTTGTCG